CCCTGTACACCCTGTGTACCCTATACACACTGCATATGTACACCCTGTGTACCCTATACACACTGCATATATACACCCTGTGTACCCTATACACAGTGTGTCTGTGTGTGTGTGTGGACCGGTGACAGATGGCCGTCTCTCTCTCTCTCAGGCAGTGCAGGCGGCCATCTTTGTTTTGTTATCGCAGGGAGGCCTGCTGGGAAGGGTGAAGCCTGTTGCCTGGCAACGGTGCGTGCGCCTCGGCCTAGCAAGAGGCCTCGGCCGCCGCTGCGCAGGACGGGGACGAACTCTCCGCCCAGCAGCAGCAGCCTTATTTACTGGGGGGAGGGGGGGACACGTTTTTCGTCCTGTGAGAGCTGTGCTTGCTCCAGTTAACTGTTGCAGCAGCAGATGCTGCTGATCGGTGTCTGAAGTCTTATTCAGCACCTGAAAAAGGGAGATGTTTTCTGTCACGGCTACGACATTTAGGAGTTGACTAGTTTGCTGGTGTCTCCAATGGACATTTGCCCTGCTGCTGCTTCCCAGCTCCAGGGCCCAGGTTCTGGTTTCAGGCCAGGGTACCATCTGTGTGGAGTTTGCACGTTCCCCCTGTATTGGCATGCCTTTTCTCTGGGTCCAGTTTGCATGCTGGGCGGGTTCGATGGGCTGTCCCGAACGGCCCGCTGACTCCCAGACCCAGACAGATGTCCCCAGTGCTCTCGGGACGGCCTTGTTCCTGTGCTCCTCCGGCGAGCTGTGACTTCCCAGGAAGAGTGTCCCTCTGGGACAGGATGATGCACGACTGGCACAGGTGTGCGGAGACTGCATGACAACGGGTCTCGTCTCCGAACCCCGATGAGCTGTTGTCTGACCAAGGCTTTGTCTCTGTAGCTCGTTAGCCCAGTGTCTCTGGCTGGTGTGGTCAGTGTGGAGCTGCAGGCCGGTCTCCCACAGGCGCCGTGCGTCTGCACTCATGTAGGTCTTGGTTCTGGTGACCGGCGCCGACGGCCCGCCCGGACACGGACTGCTTTCACCGCACGAGGGTCTCTGCCCGCGCTGCTCCACGCGCGGAGCTTCGCTGGCCTCATCCCGCGCTCCCGTCCTCTCCCAGCGCCGTCCGCCCGGTCAGCGCTGCCGAGAGCGTTCAGTGACCCTGGCCTCCTGTCTGTCCCTCTCTGCAGCGTTCGTGATCTACAATTTCCTCAGCCTGTGCTACGAGTACTTGGGAGGGGAGAGCGCTATCATGTCGGAAATCAGAGGGAAGCCCATCGAGTGAGTCCGCACACGCCCTCGTTTAGTACACCTCTCTGTGAGACTCGGTGTTCGGATAATAACCCCGTCGATAATACTGCACTTGTAGTTTCCTGTTCCGTTTCTCCGAAGTGATCTTTCTGGAAGACTTAGAATGGCCGATTGCTCTTTCCTCTGCCCTCCTCGTTGGGGATCGCCAACCACGTGTTTTCTGTGCAGCTACTAACCCTGCGGCCCCACACGGGGAGGAACGAGGAAGTGCAGGCACTCAATATGCCCGCCTCCCACCCTTGTAGCCAATCGCCTTTTGACATGTCACAGACGGCGCTGCCCCATGCTGTAGGGCGAGTGCTGATTGGACAAGATGGAGTCCAGTTGTCAGCAGCACCGCCCCACCGGCCAGTCATGTTTAGCAGTAGTGCACTGTGGCTTGGTCACACCTGCGTAGTGGCGTGACTC